GACGTTTCGGATGCAACACAAGCTGTCCGTCTCAGGTTGGAACCGTCACAGCCACGACAGCTGTATCAAGTAAATGCGAGATTGCAGAGCTACCACTCCGTTTTTATAATGGTTGGGAGAGGGGGGGGGGGCCAAGTACAGCACACTTTTTATTAATATGGTAAGGTGAGGCTTAAGAGGTGAGCCTTTGTTATGGAGAGGTACGGTTTGTGACTCAACCTGTGACAAGGAGACAACAACTAACATGGTAAACCTGTAATAGTTGTCTGTCAAATAAGATTGGCCAAATAAGTGTAGTTAAATCTTTTTTGCATGGTTAATCACATCTTTCCAATGATTACTCCAGTTTGTAACCATCATCACGGTTGAAATTATGTCTGTGTTTGTATATTTGTATGGCTTCGTGTACAAACCTTTGATGGTAGCCAGGAGGTTTGCAGAGAACCTTGGTCTCGGAAAAGACAATTTCATGAGAGCCCACCGAGTTGTAGCAATGATCGGCAACGGCCGAAGAATCAGTTCTGCCGTGTTTCAGATCTGACTTGTGCTCGCGGACACGATCAGAAACATGACGTTTCGTTTCTCCAATGTAGCAATCACCACAAATGCAACTCAATTTGTAGACTCCAGGATACTGTAAGTCAGGAACGACATCCTTCACAGATGGAATCAGATCACGGATTTTATGCACTGTACTGAATCGGACTTGGATCTTATGTTTGTTTAGAATTTTGGAGATCTTTTTGGTCACGCATGCTATGTATGGTAACGTGATAGTTTTGGTCGGAGTTTCATGTGGCTGTTTCTGTGTGGTGGGAGAAACAGCTTGGCAGATAATGCGGTCAGAGTATCCGTTCATCCTGAGGGCCCGATGTACATGTCTTAATTCACCGGCCAGGTGGTGTTGGTCAGAAATGCCATGGGCTCTGTGGTATAGCGTTTTGATGAGAGAATTCTTTTGAAATGGGTGGTGGGGCGAATCCGGTTTCAAGTAGGAATCTGTGTGGGTGGCTTTCCTGTAGACAGAATGTCCCAAGGATCCGTCAGGCCTCCTCTCAAACAGAATATCCAAGAATGGTAGTTTACCGTCTTTCTCCACTTCCATGGTGAATCTGATGGATGGGTGTCTAGAATTGATGTGGTCCAAGAAGTGGTTCAATGCTGGGAGGCCATGTGGCCAGATGACGAAAGTGTCATCCACATACCTCTTCCACAGGGAAGGACCCAGGGTGGATGTCTGGATGGCGTCTGATTCTAACTTTCCCATGAACATGTTGGCTATAACTGGTGACATGGGGGAGCCCATAGGGGTACCCTCATTCTGTTTGTAGAAGGTGCCATTCCAGGTAAAATAGGTGTTGGTGAGGCAATGCCTAACCAGCGCAGGTACATCAGAATTCAATCCATGTTGGACTAAGTCCTCAATTATTGTTAGGGTGTCCGGTACTGGGACTTTGGTGAACAAAGATACTACATCAAAGCTGACGAGGATGTCATCAGGAGATAGTACCATGTCCTTAACTATAGAGACTAATTGGGTTGAGTTGAGTACTGCCGAAGAGGTCTTGCCTGTGAAGGGGAGCAGAGTATCTGATAGAAAACGGGCTAGTTTGTACGTAGGAGAGTTTATCATCGACACGATGGGTCGTAGTGGCGTGCCTTCTTTATGGATTTTGGGAAGACCATAGAGTCTGGGAGGTCTAGCCGCCGATGGTTTTAGAGAGGGACGTTTGCTTGGTTCGATTAGGGAAGTCGAACTCGTGATGATACTGTTTCTCAGATTGATGTAGCCCTCCGAGGCATAGGACACATCCATGCAGATGTAGCAAGAGCTGAAATAGCTACTATTCTTAAGAATGCTAAGAAACCCACTAGTAACATCAGCAAAAACGAACGCTCTGAACTCGCGGACCTAAAAAAGAGAGATGATATAGTCATCCTCTCGGCAGACAAGGGCACGGTCATCATGGATAAAGATTCATACAACAACAAAATCCTGGACCTTAATGATGGGAGTTACTCCAAAATTAAAAACGATCCCACTAAAAGCCTAACGACAAAAACCAACAGTATCATCACGAGTTCGACTTCCCTAATCGATCCAAGCAAACGTCCCTCTAAAACCATCGGCGGCTAGACCTCCCAGACTCTATGGTCTTCCCAAAATCCATAAAGAAGGCACCCCGCTACGACCCATCGTGTCGACGATAAACTCTCCTACGTACAAACTAGCCCGTTTTCTATCAGATACTCTGCTCCCCTTCACAGGCAAGACCTCTTCGGCAGTACTCAACTCAACCC